ATCTACAAAGAAAACAGTGAATTAATTCATGTTCTGCTCAGCGATTTCACTTTCCAAAACAGAAAATGTGAACCAGGAATTTTAAAAAGCCCGTCCGTATCATATAGAGTGTACCCTGGCAACGTTTAACTGGACCTAGCCAACCGTACTGAAGGCCTGCTCTGTGCTGAGCAGGGTCTAGCCTCCAAGGATTGAAAAGCTAAGGGAGGACTGACTGGTCCTGCAGGAACGCACAACTTTGTTGGGGGCAGGGAGGGCAAGACACTACACTGTGCATGAAAAAGAAATAATTGAAGGTGCTCCCTGCACAATAGAAGTATCTACAATGTGAGGCAACGTAGCAGTCACCTAACAGCGAGAAACGGGGGAGAATCGTGGGGTGCAGGGATCACAAACCCATGCCCCCAGGACTAGACTCGCTGGGCTCCCCTGGGGCGCGCGCCGGGGTGGCTCAGCCAGTTAAGTGTCCGACTCTTGATTTCGGCTCAGGTCGTGGTCTCAGGGACGTAAGATCGAGCCCTGGGACGGGCTTCCTGCTCAGCAGGGAGTCTGCTTGGGATTCTCTCTCTCTGCCATGCCCCCAGCCCCCGCTTGCAGGCGTGCTCACTCTCTCAAATAAATAAGTAAATGTAAAAAAAAAACAAAAAAACCAAACCCCAAACCACTTCCCCCCCAACGGGACACATGATACAGAGAGGTCTTTGAAATTCTCAGACCACATTTCCTTAATCAGTTTTAGAAAGTGAAATCACTAACCAAGGCCCGCCCCTTCCTAGCTGTGTGATAAAGAGCAAGTCACTTAATAACTCTGTATTTTGGTTTCTTGTCTGTATAATGGCATTGGCCTACCTCATAGAGATTTTGTGAGGATTAGTGTATTAATATCTGCAAAACGCTTAAAACAGCGCCTGGTGCAGAGCGATCATTACATAAATGTGAGTGGTGGTGGGCTCTAAATCACACTCCCCTCTGATGCATTCTTTTTTCTTTTCCTAAATTCCTTGAAATTACTAAAACTGGTAATTATCATCTCTTTTGGTAAGGTAAATATTGAAAACATACGACATAAAAATGTGTAAAAAAAGATATATATATATGTATATATATATATGCAAGTTGGTTTTAGATAAAGTCTGTGCTTAAACAGTGCTGGTCAGGACAGGAAGATCCAAGGGAAGTATTGTTCTGAAATCACTAAGGATGTCGGAGGACTGCCACACTGGGCGAATAAACCTCATAAGGCTGGATGTGCCAACCCACCCCTGCCCCTGCCCTTCCCTGCCCCCCCCGCCCCCCTGCTCCCTGTGGAACCGCCTCCTCCCCTACACCCGGGAGCCGGAGGGGGCCAGGCCATCTCATCCAAGAGACCCTGCCTGCCAGCTTTCATGGGCCTCTCTTTGGGACCTGAAAAAATAAACTTTGGGCTCCACAATATAAAAGAAAAACCCCTGCAAGACCGAAATTTAATATTTTATTAACTGTAACATGTCAAGTTCGATGATGTTGAATTTAACTCCCGAATACCCGCTGATTGCCAAGAGATCGTAATCGTTAATAAAATGTTTAAGAATAATTCAGAAAGCAAATCATGGGGCTCCTTCCCCTAAAGAGAAGAATGACATTCAGTGTGGAATACAGGTGTATTCTGATGTTTAGTGTGATATGGGGTGGGGCTTGCAGAGGCACGAGCACCTGGGGCCTTTGAAGCCCCTAAAATCTGCCTGAGTGGAGGTTTCCAGAGGCTCCTGGAAGAGCTCAAGCTTCATCACGTTCCTCTCCGAGTCAGTGGTGACTGCCCACAACTTCATCGTAAAAGCTGCACGGGCTCAACTGTTAAAATACGGACGCAGCTGAAAAGAGATGGGTCACTTCCACCAATGCAGCAGTTCACACATTTTGGTGCTCAGCAGAATTACTGGGAGACCTTTTTTTTTTTTTCAATGCATATTTTTAGGCCTTGGAAGTCTGCATTTGTGATTCAGTAGGTCTGGGGAGGAGCCCAGGAATCTGCATGTGAAGATCCAGGTCACCCAGGGGCCACACTTTGGAAACGCTACTCTTAGTGCGGTGTGTTTTCAGAGGAAGGAAAGGAAAGGTGGTGGCGGGGGTGGGGGAGGGGAGTGGTTTGCTGGCTGAATAATGCATTGGACAAAACGAAGGGTAACTGCCAGTTTGGAGAGAGATGTGCCCCAGGTCACGGCTTCCTAGTGGAGGACATCTTCAAAAGGTGCAGGCGTGGGCCCGAGGCTGTGAGCACCTGTGATGGCTTTCTCGTTCTCGAATGCGCTCAGGTGTTGCCCACGTTTACTACTTCTGGGGTAAAGCGCCCTTCTCTGTTTGTAGAACATTTCCTTGAGCAAAAGCTACCTGTTTCAAGTTCCGTGGCAAGTTCCCAAATCCCAGTATTGTAGAGCCCAGAATGTCGCAACGAGGAGGACGGGAGTCCAATGGCATCACGCTTATGGACAGGACAACTGCGCTCATGACCCGCTCGAGGCCACACTGTAGACCTGGGACCGGAACGCGGCGTTCTCCATGTTCAAATCCTGCTTCTCCCGAATCTCCTTCGGTAAGCAAAACTGTGTGGCCTTGGCTGTGGCATTTCTGACTGGTTTCCTTTTAGTGCATCCATAGTCTCTCCGGGGTTGGAACAACGATCTTTTCAGCATGTTGGCAGGAACATGGCACGGTGGTCAGGAGCACAGACTTCAGGACCCTGCAGATCCGAACCCACATCCTGGCTTGACCGCGGCAAATGCCGTCACTTCTCTGAGTCTCCTATACACCAGGGGGGTAGTAAGAGCCACTTCAGGAATTCGGCTCCTTAAATCAGCCCTGGTTCCCGAATGGCAACTACCCCCAAAATTCACTGGCGTGAAGTTAGTTGGGGAGCTGGTATCCCTCCATTTGCTGGTATTCTGCAGGGCTCAAGCCAGCCTTGGGGAATGCTCTCTCACACAGCGCGCGGGCGTGGGGACCCGGTTCCCTGACTTCCTGGCGCCTGCAGGGCTGAGCTCAGTAGAGCTCCCTGAGAAGTAAATGGTACAGACAGAAAGACGAGAATATACCAGGCTTTCCAAAAGCAATCATCACGTGTGGTTATCAGAAAAATTTCATTCCATGTCCCAGCGGAGGGAAGCATGGATATAAATTAACCCCAAATTTATATTTGCCTGGGGATGAATCCTATGACATCAGAGGGTGGGTAGCAAATTTTCCTTCTGTATTATTTGCTCCCCAGGCGAGGGTCAAGATTTACAGCTAGTCCCTGAGTGTGAGTCAGCTCACGGGCTGGGAAGCCAGCCCAGGGCCCCGAGGACTTCATGGTTTCAGGGGCTAGTGCATGCTCATACAGAAACTGGAAAGTTGCCTTTTGATTTTCCTTTGCCAAATGTGTGTGTGAGAGGGTTTTGCCACTTTCTCCAAAACCCAGGGGCCTTTGTGACACCCTCTCCCCAGCTATCAAGGCCACCCGGGCAGGAAGGGGTCCCACGGTCAGCACTGTTTCTGAGCGGATGATGACAGCCCCCGTCCTCCCCAATCTAGTCTAGATCTGCAGCCAGCTCATTATTGGCTTCGTAGGTAAAATTCCGTCCGTGCTATGCCAACGATCAAATCCGATGTCCCCTGTGCACTGGCAGAGTTGTGCAGCAAGGAGTATGGGGTCCGTTCCTTCGTTCTGGAATGCTGCATGGAGCAGGGGAGTCATGTCTTTGGGGCTGGCCTCACGCCAACCCAGGATCTCGCCATGAGGCCGCGTGGCCAGGGGAAGGCGCACCCACTGCTTTTTCAGGTGGAGTTTGGAACCCTCACTCTCCCCAGGGGCAGCTGTTGGACCTAGCACAGAGTGGGTCTCAATGACTGACCTGTAGGATGCAGATTACCCTAGCACCTGCTCCACCGGGTCTGGGGGGGATGAAGCGAGAACATACAGAGGGTACCTGCCACGTCCCAGGTGTCCAGCTCTGATGACCTCTGGGCGCCATGAGCATCTTAGTAACAAGTTCCTCCTTTCCAAGAAAACACCCCCCTTTTTTTTTTTAACCTCTCTAAACTCAGACAAAGCAAAAAATTGTCAATCTCAGTAGAAACCTGTGGAAACACTGGGGACATCCATTGCAATGCGTGCGAGCCCCAGGGTAGAGCCCCATGCTTCTCCATCTCTGCCTTGGTACTGACCACATTTATGGCCACATTCTACTCCAAGGGAAGAAAAACTGGCTTAAAAGAAAATAATAAGCCCTATGTGAAAGCTTGAGGACGAGAGATTTGGGACATATCTTGGGCCAGGTTGGACCCAAAGCCAGAGAGGAACAGGTTTAGGTCCTGATGCATGTGCTCGCTCAGCTGGGGAGCTCAGACGCCTGGTGCTGGTTTGTACCACCTCCCCGAGGCTGAGCAGAACAGGTGGTGTGTAGTGGGTAGAACACGTGTCCTGTGTCCCTCCCACCTCTCTCTGATGTTTTCATCCTCGGGTTTAGCGCAGGGTCCTGGTGTCGGGATCTCGGATGGCCAGGACGTTCATTACAGAACCATCAGGCACCTGGTGTGCACCCCCGAGTGCGGGCTTACAAAAAAAAAGAGGTCATTGGTTTTCTTTTCTTTTCTTGGACAGCTTGCAGCCTGGCTGGGGAAAGATAAGATTACCAGTCCCTCTCAATATTTAATCTTTTTAAACCATGGAAGATTAGTCCAAAAGCCATTTCTGTTGAGAAGCAGAATCGAGGAGATTTTCAGTGTGGAGAACATCTTGTGGAGATTCGAAATGTGTGGCTGCTCATGGGCAGCCAGAACTACCTCCACCTCAGGGCACATTTCTGGAGGCAGAGCTTGGTTGGCATCCTCCTGCATCCTCACCTTCTCCCATGTCAGGCGGTCCCCCACTTACGGTCCTTGAAGGAGCATCTCAAGGACCAGGCTCCCCACCATTGCCCCCAGCCAGCCGGCACAGGCTGGCCGTCCTTCCACTTGACTGGACTCCCCACCTCCTCCCTTCCCCAGGGGATCATGGCCTTTCCTACAGACCTCGTACACTGAAGCCATGTCTACTGTTACACAGCAGGCTGCCTTCGACAGAGTCACGAGGCAGCAGTGGTGTTTGGGCGTCAGAAGTGGGGGTGGGGCCCCCTCTTCCTGCACATCTCTGGTGAGACCACTCACTGCGACCAGATGGGTTTTCTCTTCTGGATGAAGGCCTTGATTCCCTCCTGCCCATCCTTCAGGGCCACGTTGTCCACCATGGTCTGGGAGGTGAGGTGGTAGGCCGTTCGAAGGTCCTGGGGCAGCTGCCTGTAGAAGGTGGCCTTGCCCAAAGCCACCACTGGACGGCTCAAGGAGGCAATCTTGCCTGCGATCCTCATGGTCTCCTCCTCCAGTTGCTCCTCTGGCACGACTTTGCTGAGCAGCCCGTGCCGCAAGGCCTCCTGGGCAGAAATGGGCTCCCCGGTGAAAAGCATTTCTAGGGCAACCTGCGGGAGGAAACGTGTGTCACTAAGGCCCGCTCCCCGTGACCCCCTGCTAGCCAAGCCCCACCCTCTCCCACTCCGTTGACTTCCCGACAACCTCAGCCCAGTCACCTGCTTCCTCAAATAACATGTCATCCGTCAGGCCCGACATCTGTGACACCCAGACTTCTGCCAGGGACAGGGTTGGAGTTCTCCAAGAGCAAGGAGCATGCAAGTGCCCGGGGGAGAGTCCCTTGCTCCTTCCCCAGAGCTGCTCTCTCAGCCGCACCTCCCCGCCCAAGGCCAGGAGCTCCCCTCTGCCTCTTAGGAGGGCCGGGCATGGGGCGTGGTCACATCTGGTGGGAAGGAACTGACGCCGAAGCCCAGGGCCTGCCCCAGACCGACGCAGCAGCCGCTTTCTGGAAAGTGCTCAGAGAGGCCACCACCGCAGTCTGGTTGAAAGAGCAGTACCCCTCCCCGGCCCCCGAAACCTGAGGAGGAGGGATTGAAAGGAAATGCCCTCCAGGGACCAGTCGCAGGATCAGGGCACGATGTAACTTACACAAGGGGCCACCTCCGTCCGTTGACCCCTCTCCCCGCACACTTCTCAGGCCTGCAGAAGAGGGGTACGGGCTCCCTGCTCTCCACAGTTTGCTCCGCTCCATAGCCTGCCGCGTCCCGCGCCTCGCTTCCCTAATTCTACAAAGCCTGACCTCCTGAGATTCAAATCCACGATTTCAAAGAGGGCTTCCTGCCGCACACGGAGCACACAGGTCGGGAGGTGCCTTTCTGGCCGCCCCCCCTGCCCTGCAGCTGCGCTGTTCCTTGAGCTGAGCGCACCGGGCATGCTGTCACCTCGGGGTGGTTATACTTGGTGTTCCCTCGGCCTGCGATGCTCCGTCCTCAGGCATCCTCACGACTGGTGCCCTCGTGCCCGTCAGGTCTCGGCTCCGGCGTCGCCCTGTCCACACGGTCCTCCCTGACCATGCTAGTCAATCTGCAGATCACACCCCCCGGTGCTCTCCCGCTTCCCGGCTGTATCTTCATCCTTTGCGCTTCTGCCATTGAACACACTCTATATTGACTCGCTGATTTTGTGCATTGTATTATCTCCTTTGCTAGCAGGTAAATGCCACCAGGTCAGGGTAAATGCCAGCACCAGAAGGGCACCTTGCACACAGTAGGCAGCTTACTAGTTATTTATCGATGAGTGATTTGTGGGATGGATGGATGAAAGCAGGTGGAACAGCAGAGGGGAGGCTTCCGTTCTTTGGGGGCTTGGTCAAAGTGGCTCAGCTTCCACCTGGCTCATTTGCTTGGGCCACCTGGTCATGGAACCTGGCTGCCATGGTGTGTGGGGAAGCCAAGACGCAGGAGAGGCCGTGCGAAGTGTTCCAGTGACCGGCCCAGCTGGGGTCCCTGCCGAGAGGCTGCCCAGCAGCCGGACATGGGGGTCAGCAAGCGCTCAGACGACACTCACCCCCCCATCTTCAGTTCCTCCCAGCTGAGGCCACACACACTGCAGAGCAGAGAGGACCTTCCTCAGGGAGCCCTGTCCAGATTGCAGATTCATGAGCTCAACAAATTACTGTTGCTGCTTTGAGCCACTGAGTTATGGGTGGTTCACTCTGCAGGGACTGGCTTGAGATACAAATTTGGGGGGCACTAGCATTTAGATCATGCTACCGACTAGGTTTCTCAACCTTGGTGCCATTGTCTATTTGGGGCCAGATGATATCTTGCTGTGTGGGACGGTCGTGTCTTTGCAGAGTGTTTATCAGCATCCCTGGTCTCTATCTGCTAGGTGCCAGGAGTTACGTGTCCCAGCCCAACAGCTGTGACCATCACAGAGCTCTCCAGCCACGGTCAGATGTCCCCTGGAACCAGTATTGCTCCCAGTGTAGAAGCGCCAATTTAGATGGTTTTTTAAATCATGACACTAGATTGTCACAGCTAGGGATGGAGCTTTGGTAAAGAAGGAGGGGTCAGAAGGCTGGGCTCGAGGCCTCCTGCCATGGTGGGGACAAGTGGAATACACACTGGACTGGCAGTTGGGGCAAGTGATGCTGGCCAACTTCTCCTCTGCAAAGTTAGGGGATGGACAAAGTCCCAGCTTTGTCCAGTTCGGGGGAATGTAGTGACTGCATGTTGGAGGCAGCAGGTACGGGATGCCCGTGGGTCGCTCCAGAGGCCATGTGTTAGCTGACCAGGAAAGGTATCATACACCAAAACAGGTTGGAAGCCCCTGGTTGAACATGGAGCTAAAAGCCAGGTCCTGCTGATTAAGGGCTTATGCTAAGACCCCGCTGAAGACACCCCGTGAGTCACATGAAGGGGCCGGGACAATGTCTGCTCTGTCGCTGCCTGAGAAGCAAGTGTCAGTGGGGACGTGGGTCAGAAGCCAGGGGAAAGCAGGGCCACTGCACCTTCCAGCCTTTCTTTTCCTCCGTTCATGCAGGCGGCTCTCAAGAAATTCATGGGGACCACAGAGCACACAGTGGCCAGACCTGAAAATAACACTGAAAATCAAATCCAGCGAAGACAAGTCATCAATCCGTTTACAGCAATGGCCAAGACCTCAAACAGCCTTCCAAGAGTAGTTAGTTACAGGGTGGCGGGGGCGGGGGCAGCGCGCCTGGGTGGCTCAGTCAGTTGAGCATCCAGCTCCTGGTTTCGGCTCAGGTCATGATCTCAGAGTTGTGAGATCGAGCCCCGCGTCGGGCTCCATGCTGGGTGTGGAGCCTGCTTGGGATTCTCTCCCTTACTTTTCCTCTCTCTCTGCTCCTCTCCTCACGTGCTCTCTCTCTCTCAAATAAATAAAAAATCTTTTTCAAAAGAGTAGCTATGAACGGTAGCAGAGTCGGAAGGAGGTAATCATTAAAATCAAAGTAGTATGTGCTCCTTTGGCTGGCTCAGTGGAGAAGTCCGTACTTGCTGGCTGGGCTCATGGTCTGTCCATGGGACAATCCCCTTGTCAGTGCCTTCCTCCAATAGATCTCTCTTCAGCATCTCTGTTTTTCCTATGTCTCTCTTTCTCTCCCTGAGCCTCCTCGGTTCCGTTCTCCTTCCCCTGCTTCCATGACCCACCTACAGAGCACCTGTCTGGCTCAGAGACTGCAGCTGCCCAGGGTCCAAGTGCTCCAAGTTTTCAGGGTGAGTCCTTTGGGGTCCAAGCTTCTGCAGGCCCGGGCACAGGCCAGGGTGCGGGCGGGGGCCTTGTCCCGCCTGCGGAGTGTGGCTCCTCCCAAGGACCCCTGGGCACGTTGCTTCTCATCTCCCGCTTCCCCAGCTGGAACGCATGCGTACAAATGAGTCTCTCAGAGATGCGGTAAAGAACAGCTAACCAAGGACCGCAAGGCTCCGGGTCACGTCGAGTGCAACAGAAATGCTAGGGAAAACGGTCCATCTGAGCAAGACATGAACCGGGGGAAAGAACTGTGATGGTTCTGCTTGCTCACGGGGCCTGGCACGAGTCTGTGTTTGAGGCTGGGGGCCAGGTTCCGTGAGCAGGAACTCCAAGCAGAGCATAACTTTCTCTTGGACATTCATTCACCCAACAAAGATTGACATAGGAGAGCTATAAGTATCAAGAGCAGGGCTACACACCGAATTGTGTCTCCCCAAAATGCATGTGTGGAAGCCCTAAGCCCCAGTGCAACTGTTTTTAGAGATGGGGCCTTTAGGGTAGTAATTACGGTTAACTGAGGTCATTGGGTAGAGCCCTGATTCAATAGGATTGGTGGCCTTCTGAGCAGAGTTAAGAGATCCCTGTCTCCGTCTGTGTCTTTCTCTCGTCGCCATATGAGGACAGAGCAGGGCACAGTAGGAAGGTGGCCAGCTCCAAGCTGCGAAGAGAGCTCCTCCCAGGACTCACGTCTGCTGGCACGGTGAGCCTCTGGAGCTGCGAGAAAGTAAAGTTCGGTTGTTTCTGCCACCCAGTCCCTGGCATGTATTATGGCAGCCCAAGGGGACTAATACACACACAGGAAGACTATGGGTTTTTGAATGTCTTCATTCCGAAGCAACTCCAAAAACTCATTTAAAAAAAAAAAGAAAGAAAAGAAAAGAAAGCATCCAAGTCCCTGAACTGAACCAGTCTGGGAGAATGTGGAGTCCTCACCCCTGGAGAGGTATGAATAGGGGCATCCCCTGTGTGTCAGGCCCGGGGGGCTCTGCCCACAGGAACATACGTGACCTCTTAAACTCCCTTCTGGACAAACGATTCCTAATGTCATTTCAGGATCTCTATATCCACAAAAAGGAAGTGACCTTGAGCTATAGCATGAGGGATTGTCATTGGACAGAAGATATTTTCCCCTTCAGTCAGTGAGTCAGTCAGCCGAGCGGAGAAACACAGAGAGAGACAGATGGTTAGGACGTGACAGACCGTCAGAAATCAGTCAGACAGCTATCTGAAGGGTCCCCACCAAGTTCTGGGCTCTGTGCTCAGCCTGCACCAACCCGGCCTCTCCTACTACCTGCTATCTAGTGGGTATGAGAACTGCTGATTTCAGAAATCACCTCACAGGGAAATATTTTCAAAGACACAAGACACTCATCCTTCTGGAATACTCTAAATGCAGCCTTGCCTGCAGGTAGGTGAAGGCACCCTGTCATCTGGACCAGTCCCTTCGACTCCTGGATCCATCATCACTTCTTTTGGGCACAAACTTCCTTTATTCACAGATTCACTTACAGTAAAAAATCCGAATTGTTAAATGGTAGTAGGTTCACTTATGTCCCCATCCTCTCTCCCACTTCATGGAAGGTGACAGACCCTCCTGTGGAGAGCGGTCACGAGGAGGGCCCGGGGCACCAGGTCTTGTCGGGCTTTGGAACCCGATCTGGATGGCCTCGGCTTGGTCACGGGGCTTCAAGTCAGGCACATGGGCTCTGCTTCTCAGTCTCTTCTCAAACCCAGACAGCACCACAAACATGTCACCTCCCAGGAGGCGTCCCAGGAAAGCCAGTTTTCAAAAGCAAAGAAGTCACGAGGACAGGTGAAGAACCAGGACGAGGGGGCGGCGGCTGGCCGACGAATGATGGATGTGGCTGACTAGACGGGGACGGGGAGAGGGGGCCCCCGGGGCTCTTGCTGATGGAGGTGCAGCCCGGAGACGGACCAGGCGGGGCATGCTCCCCCGCGCGCTTCCACTGCCCGGGCTTCTCTTTCATTCCAGAAGACCGGGAAGGTCTTCGGGGGATTCACCCCACGCCTGAAGGAAGTCTTGATGGGAGGAAGGTTAAGAGCCCCGCCTGGTTCAGCCCCTTCTTTGGGCCTCGGTTTCCTTATCTGCCTACTGGGGTCATAGCGTTAGCACATAATGATTTTGGGGATTTTACCCGGGCGGGTTGGATAACAGCGTGGTATTCTCTAAGGAAAAGAAAGCCTGCTTATTTTCTAGCTCATCAGCACAGTCTTTGCTTATGAGTGAAGCTTCTAGGTCAAGTGTCCCCCGGAACTTCAGATGAGAGAGAAGGCACCTTCTCTCAACCTTCTCCTTCATCAGTTCAAGCTGCCTTTTATGACGGCACTTCTTGGGTCCCCCTAACAAGCTGGGGTTTTAATGCTTCCTCTTTCTGGGGCACTTGAGGCCAAGGCAAACCCCGGAAGCAGCAGGATTTGGGTCTAGAGTTGGTCCCCCGAGTTCCAATCCCAGATGGGCCACTTACTAACCAAAAGACCTTAAGGATGCAACTTGAGCCCTCTGAGTCTGTTTCCTCATCTGAAAATGGGAACAAGCCTTCCATCCTCCCGCGGGATTGCGGAGATGAGAGTAAGTGCAAAGCTAACACTACCGTGCTGGGCACTCAGTCGGCATCTAATAAATGCACTGATGATTATCAACATGCCTATTCCAACTGTACATTTGTATGAATCTCTGATTGGCTTTTAGGTATCACAGCCCTGAAAGGGGGTGAGTCTTTAAAGCAGAGGGGTCTTTGGGGCCCCTTGAGTCCCATCTATGGTAAGAACCGGCTGGCGATGCAGTTAAGGGCTCAGGGAGGAAGGAAGCTGACGGGAGGGCCGTGGGGCGAGATTAGTTGCTGGAAGACATTAGGTAAGGCCCTGAATCGACCCCAGGCCCTCTTGTAAATTGGGGGGTTGAACTACATGTTCTCGCAGGCGCCGAGGCCATTGCAAATCTCTGTTAAAGTGCAGATTCTGATGTGGTCGGTCTGGGGGGGCTGTGACCCTGCATTTCTCAGGCTCTCTGGCGGTCTCCATACCAGGCTGAGTAGCAAGACCTTAACCCTCTTTCCAGCTTGGAAGTTGTACTCTGTTGTAACTAGACTCTGAGGAAATCGGAGTCCACAGATACACTACGTTACCACAGGCAGACAGGAGGAAGCCAGCGTTCCCACCACCGAGAAATGAGGGGCTGGGGAGGCGGGGGTTTGGCTCTTTCACACGCTCTCCCGTGATACCAAGTGCCTGAGGCACTGGCACCACGTTTCTGGGCGAGGCCCGCTCGGGCTGGGGGGGACAGCAGCCCAGCAGGCAGGCTGTTTATAGGGCGCAGTGAAGATGCATTATTTAACTCACGCCAGAGGAGAGAAATGCTTTACAAATGTGGAAAATTATTCATGTGCAGGCTCAGTCTGGCTTGAACACAAGGGCTGCACTCCGTCATTTCTGCTCCCAGCGCACAGACGGCGGCCCTGCTGAGCCGGTTCCCATGGTGACCAGCAGAGGGCGCTGGTGGCCCACACCCGTGGCTCTAGCCGCGGCAGAAAGGGTAGAGCTCCCAGGCCAGGTGAGCCTGCAAAAGCACCTGCTTGCTTCCCTGTGGCTATGCGCCGAGGGGACAGGGGCCCGCCACCCACCGAAACCCACGGGCCTGTGCACGGACGTGCTCATAGGGGCGCAACCAAGCAATGACCGCAGGGAGGGGTGTTTCTGGTTAGGTTTAGATTTCTATGAATCCCTACTTGCCTCCTCCAGCCGGCCGCACAGGTGAGACCTGCAGATCCAGCAACCCGGCAAAGGCCCTACGTTCTGACAGACTTTTCTTCCCACTGAATTCCCTTTATTGGTATTGTGATTTTAGGTCATGAGTGCTGACCCCAAACTGTGTATCCGCTTCATGCCTCTGTGTAGTCATGAACCTGGAGGGCAACTCTCCCTTTCAGACTGCTAGATGGGAAGAAACCCAGGGGATCAGATCACAAGGAGCGCAGACTGGGGAGCTGAGTGGGACAATACTGGAGACTCTGCCCTCATCTTCTCAGCAGGCCTGGCCCTTGCCAAAACTGCCCGTGGGAGGTAGCAGCCGCTTTGGGTCTTGCCACGTCCTGCCCCTTCATCCGTCATGGTGGGCAGTCATGCAAGGTGGTTCTGAGCGCTGGGCTTCCTGAAAACTTAAGGCCTGTATGTGTCACGTTTGTCTTCTTCTCTTCTCAAAAACTAATTTAAAACTTGACAAAATGTGATAACAATGTTTACATTTCTAGGACTCCATTAGAAGCCTTGGTTTGAAAAGTTTGTGTTAAGAAAGAAATGGATTCTTATCCTGACAGCAGGGCTGTTACAAAGGTTTAAAAGCCTTACTGTGGACCCTTCCAGAACGTAAGGTGTTAAAGATGAACAGCTGCAGACAGGGTAACCAGTCCAACTGCCTTTGACTGTGCAAGAGGCTTCGCAACTTGATTTGCACAATTGTGAGTTTGTTAATGAGCTCTGACAATATATTTGAGATGTACTTCAATTTAATATACTTGGCACAAAGTAGGGACTTAAGAAGTATTTACTGAATTACCATATATGCATTTAAGGTGAACGTGTCTCCTGACAGGATGAAACCCCTTTAGTCAGCAAACCTTTTAGCAAGCTGTTATGTTTGACAGCTCGCCCTTTGCCCACTCTCAGCCGGCGTTCCTGTGTGTGTGTGCCCGCAGGATCTGTCTTCTGACCTTTGTCACAAGTACACGTTTCTGTAAAAACTACTGAGGAGGCACCATACAAGAAAGGAATGCATCCCTAAACTTCTTGGTCCTACGGCTTGATTTCCCTTGGGTCTTATCTCTTTGGTGCCTCAGGCATATGGGCAACTGCTGATTTTTGTAGTTGATGGTAAATGGAAAATATATTCCTGAAAGCAGTTCAGGTTCCCTAATGTTGCATGACTTTGCCAAACTTTCCCTTTTTGAAAACACATTTCCGGTTGAGAATGAGGATGTATTTTTTTTTCCTAGAACAAGGAAATCCCTGGTTTACACGTAAGAGATGCTTAGTAAATATTATTTTATGATGTGATAAGAAGGAAGAGAGTTTTGTGAAGAAAATGGGCTTCACTTTGGTCAGCCAATGACAAAACACCTTTCGTAATGCGGCTCCTTCTGGGGCAGAGCCAATCTACCAAGCACGGACTGTTCTTGCTCCTGAAACATCACCACTGTGAACCTGACACACTCAGGGAATCAGCTCTTTTCAGTCCCTTCTGGAACAAGACAGGTTGTGGGCAAACAATAAGCCAGTGACACTAGCGTCCTAGCTCCTGATACTGATCTACCTCCCCAGGTGGCCCAACGAAACTGGGTTTCAAAGGCGGGGCCAGTAAGATGACAAGAATGTGTGCCTTTATGCAAACCAACAAACCGAGTAAGGAACCTAAGGAGCTGCCCTGAGGGGCAGGCAGCTGGCCGTCCCCTGCCCCGCGGGCGCGCACCAGAAGGGACGCCTCGGCATACCCCGCCAACCACACTCCCGGGCAAGTGCTGGAGCCCACCACCTGGTGCCCTGGAGCATCCCGTCTGCAGGGCCCAGTGAGTTCAGTTACCTTTCTCGGCACCGCTCTCCCCAAGGCCACCCCCGGCGTGGAGCAGAAGAGCCCGATGTTCACCCCCGGAGTGGCGAAAGAGGACGTGTCGCTCGCCACGGCGATGTCGCAGCTGGCGACCAGCTGGCAGCCGGCCGCGGTGGCCAAGCCGTTCACCATGGCGATGACGGGGACCGGGTGGTTCTGGATCAGCATCATGACCTGGAGGAGCAAACACACCACTTCATTTCCGCCCGGGAGCGAAACGCAACATTCACCTGTATCATTGTATGTGACGTCACCCCTCGCAGCGCATTTTCCGTCGGCATCAGCTCAGAGTCTGGGGGGCGGGGAGGCTGAAAGGAGGCATGAAGAGAACCAAGCGGGCATTAAATACCGACGGTCTGGTCTTCCTGAGACCCAGGGGAGGAGCGGACCCTCCCTGACAACCTGGCTGCGAAGGCTCAGAGGGGAAGGCACTCGCCCAGGCAGCAGGATGCAGGGGTTGATGGCACAGCCCTGGTCTTCCCACCCCCCCGCAGGACGCCGCTGTGAGGTCACGGTCCCCTCTGACTGGTCCCCAGCAGCCCCCCTGAAGCACAGAGCTGATTTTGATCTCTGGGGAAGGGGGTGGCAAGTCTGAAATGAGTATTTGGTACTTCCTTGAAAAATTATGGCGAAAAAGGAACTGGAAGGCAATTTCTGTAGTAATTACTTCTCAAATTACCGCGGGGGAACATTCTCTCAATTCTATTACAATGGTGTGGGGACGCCCTGCTGTCATCAAAATAAAAAAACTCCCCAAACAAGGCCCCTGCACAGAGAGGAGCCAGAAAACTTGCTCATGTGACGCTTCCCCTCTCCCCACCCCATAAATCGCCAGAGGTTTTAACTTATTTTTGCAGCTTACCAAATAACTTGGTTTATTTCTCCAATTTTTTTCATGCCACTCTAAACAGATTGCGTTGCTATGGTAACTTGGATGTATAAATAGTTGCACCTTGAACCCTGGCAGGGAAGGAGGGCAGGTGGGAAGGAGCCACTATATCTGGGCTTGTTTCCCACAGCGGCAACTGCGAAAAAAATGACCTTTCATTGATTTGAAGATTTTGCCCAAGGAACTCAGCCTTTTGCATTCACAGACATATTACATTTGTCAGCTTTATTATAAAATAGCCAATTATATATTTAGGGATATGATATATTCTATAGTAGTGGTTTGGTGTTTTTTAGGGGGTCACCTTTGGAGAATCTGACAAATGCTAATGACCCTCTCCTTGGAAGAATGCACACATATATATCCGCACCCCAAACTGTTCATGGATTTAGGGGGTTTGAGAACTCCAGGTGAGGATGACGATGGTCAGTGACAGAGCTCATTCTCAGTGAACTGCAATAGCTAGGAGAAGAATGCTTAGGAACTTCTAATGTCTTGCTGCAAAGAAAGTTGTTTTTTTTTTTTTTTTTTGCTCTGTGTTGTCTGTCACCTAATGAACTGGTTACTTATGAAAAGTCACCTGGCCGTAATTAGCGTTGAACAATCTGTGTCTCCTGTGTGTCATCTACGAAGCACTAGGATTCTATACAACCTGGTGGGAAAATACTTAGAGAAGATTGCAACAATATTAAAAATATTCATACCTTTCATCTAGGGAACACTTCTAAGGAATAATCCTAAAATAGGTAAAAAGCTGTCTGGGCAAAGATGTTCAAAAATTATTTTATATTAGGGAAAAACTAATAAGTAACATAAATATATAAAAATAAATAAGGGGCACCTGGGTGGCTCAGTCAGTTAAGCGTCTGCCTTCGGCTCAGGTCATGATTCCAAGGTCCTGGGATTGAGCCCTGAGTCAGGCTCCCTGCTCAGCGGGGACCCTGCTTCTCCCTCTCCCTCCTGCTAGGGCTCTCTCTCTCTTTCAAATAAATAATTTAAAAATAATAATAAATAAATAAGAAAAATGGCTATGTAAACGAATTGTCCATTTAATGGAATGCTGTGTTCTCATTATGAGATTTTCCACCAGACACAGTAGCGTGGTGGTGGTCTGGGTCTTGCGTAGTGGGCTGGAGCCAGGCTCCTGGGGCTTGATGCCCAGTCTATCACTTACCCACTGGCTATCACTCGGTCTTCACACCCGGGTATAATAATGGGCATAAGAAGAGTACAAACCTTCTAGAACATGAGAATTATATATCTATGTCTAAAGTATTCGAAACCTTATGTGGCACATGGTAAGCATTCAATGCTATAATCACATTATACAATTATACAGTATAATTGCTCTTATGTATGATTATTCAGACAAATAGGTTCACATGGGAAAAGGTTTGAAAGAAATACACTAAATATTAGCATTCTCTCTGGGTGGTATGATCATGGTCCAGTATCAGCAGTTTGTTTTCCTTCCTTCTATTTTTCTGGATTTTCAAAATTTTCCACAATGTTTATTATTTGTATAATTAAAACATATTTTAAGTAACTTTATTTTTTAAGTAGGCTCCACGCCCGACGTGGGGCTTGAACCCATGACCCTGAGATCAAGAGTCACATGCTCTACTGACTGAGCCAGCCAGGCACGCCAAAACATATTTTATTTAAACATTTTTTTTTATTTTTTAAAGATTTTTTAAATTTATTTGAGAGAGAGCGAGAGCACGCACGCATGGGGGGGAGAGGGGCAGAAGAAAGAGAGTCTCCAGCACTGAGCGAGGAGTCCTCCTGGGATCACGACCCCAGCAGAAATCAAGTCAGACACCCAGCCGACTGAGCCACCCAGGTACCCCCCCAAAGTGTATTTTAAATGAAGTTAGAAAGCAATTCAGGAAAGACAAAGACAAGCTAGATAATAAATCAGCTGGGGCAATCAATCCCTTGGTAGTCAAGAAATGATTATCCCTCCTAGTTTACCTGCCTGAACTAAATATTTTTCCTGGGCTCTGCCTGCTCCAAAATGTGACATAAACCTAAGTATAGCTTAGCCTCGCTCAGTAGCGTTACTGAGGGCTCTGTCAGAGGCCTTGCCCCGTTGCCATTTCACTGGTGGGGGTGAGGAGGAAGAGAAGAATCTCTTCCTGGACGAGGGTTTCCACCCTCGAACTTCAACAGGACAAAAGAACAGACACAAGGGGCAGGTCTCCAGGGAAATCTGTCACATCAGCTCCACAGAGGGTTACTTTTGCTCTCTCACGGCCACGTGTTTCTTCTCCTTCTCAATTTACCCTATTCCTGCTTTGTAGATAATTAACGATCAGGAGGCACTTGTGGTCTGCAAGGCATCTGCTACAGTTTAGATGCTGAGCCAAGTCAGGAATCTCCGTGTTCCTCTCTAAATCCAAATTTTCTCATGCATGAACGGAACAGTGAAATATCTAGCTCATTCCGTCCCGGTCTGTCTGTTGATTACATTTGGAAATTGAAATCTTGCACTCGTGATGCCCATATTTATCCAGGACAATGTGATTTTCTTAGAAAAAGTATTCAAGAAATCAACGCACTTTCACTCCTCTCTCCTTGTGTTAGGACAAGGTCCTGTTCCTGCACTGTCTTTTTCAGTGAGCCTGAAAAAGGCTCACTGGGGGTTGACAGCTTCCACGAAACCTGGCCTTTCCCCTCTGAAGCAGCCCCTGGCTCCCCCGTGGCCCTCTTGCTAACCCGTTTAGACCTCAGTTCATGAAGACACAGCAGAGTGGTAAAAGCAGGCCCTTTAGGGAGGATGGGAGGGCTCTAGTGGTTCTCTTTGATGCTTTTCTGTTTTAGCCAAACACACTGGGTATTAGCAGAGAAATAACTTCTAGAGCACCGTGCCTTGGCAAACACAAGAGCAGAATGTTACATAAACACCATTAATGTGGAACAAAAGACCGAAGCCTCAGGTCCAGGTTGCTTCTGCCTCTCCCTGAAGCTGCCTCTCCCAAGTCAGTTGGTTTTCTGGCTGGTCCTGCCATGAAATGAGAACACTCTAATTGACGCTCCTTGCTGCATTCTGGAAGGGCGAGGAAAAAAAATGGCGGTCGAGACAGCATCTTAGTCACCTTCCTGTCAGCCTCCCTGTTGCTCACCTCTGTCTCGTCTATATAGAAGTTATCATGAAATATTTGTTGAGTCATTAATGACCAAATAAATGAGCAAGTCAACGAACGAATGAAAAATTAGGTGAAGTAATCTTAGGATCAGGTTATGAAACTGTTTTAGGTCTTTTTTTTTTTTTTAAGGTTGATTTATTTGAGAGAGAGAGAGAGAGTTTTTAAATATTTATTTATAAAATAAATAGAGCACGAATGGGAGAGGGAGGGAGAGAGAGAATATCTCAAGTAGGCCCCATGCTTGGCGTGGAGCCTAAAGCGGGGCTTGATCTCACGACCCTGAGATCATGACCTGAGCCAAGACCAAGAGTCAGTTGCTAAACCGACTGTGCCACCCAGGCGCTCCTGAAACTGTTTTATGTCTTGCTTCTCACCTACATATCCAGTTTCCGTTTGGCAGGAACCTTGTTTTTCCTTCTTTTTCCCTCAGGGCCTTGCAAGTATTATGCATACGGTAGTGCTCAATGAGTAGTTATGAAATGAGCAATGCCTTACTTAAAGTTGTATTCTATTCAGGTTTTTATTATCCAGGGGTTGACTTAATATATTTATAATCACCTCAAACCTTTTTTTCCTCTTCCTCTCTGCGGGCAATTTCTCTCCTTTGTATGGTTAAAGAGACAGACAGAAGTAAGCGTGAAGAGGTTAATTTTCCCACTTGGAGGTGGTGATTACAAAGGTTGGTTGGAAGAAGGGTTTGAAAATAATCTTTAAGGGGCGCCTGGGTGGCTCAGTCGTTAAGCGTCTGCCTTCAGCTCAGGTCACGGTCCCAGGCTCCTGGGATCGAGCCCCCAGTCGGGCTCCCCGCTCAGCGGGAAGCCTGCTTCTCCCTCTCCCACTCCCCCTGCTTGTCGGTTCCCTCTCTCGCTCTCTCTCTGTCAAATAAATAAATAAAATCTTAAAAAAAAAAGAATCTTTAAAATCATTAGTATTATTCCATTCACAAATATTCTCTCTCTCCCATTAACAGAGATGTTTTTGTTTAAAATTAAAAAAAAAAATTTATACTAATCTTAGGTTCTTGCCCTCTAAAGATGTACACCCCCACCCTTTACCTCTTCCTTAAGACACGTCTACCAAGACACACCCCCGTGATCCTGGAGGCAGCAACTATCAGCACTAGCCTACGTTTTACTTTCTTTGGCTTGTAACAAGATCAATCACAAACCATGGTCACTTCTTAAAAATCGAAACCAAATAGTGGCCTGGGTGAAAGATGCACCAGTGACCAGTCCTCAGCAACTAGGTCTCATAGATAGAGCCTTATCTGTAAAGTGGAGGCCTGATTCAGTATTTCATGTCACTATCATTTTCGGGGGTTCGACGTCAACCCCCATCCTGACTTACCTCGGAACAGGTCTGAAATACTTCGGCATGATAATCTGGGCTTCGCTCATCTGTCAGTTCCTTTAAATCATGCCCAGAAGAAAATACAGGGCCCTCAGCTGCAAATGTTTCCAGTGGAGAGAAGAAAAGAATAGGAAGAGATGTAAACAGCCAAGCTTAAACGTTCACTTACTTACCTACAGGATAACCAGCAACAGCGTTGAGGCCATGGACACTTAGAGAAAGTTAATGGCTCGATTTTGATAAGAATAATTCCATTTCACCTGAAAAGTGACAGCCAGTATTTTGTGGTGACAAGGCAAGGTGAGGCATCGGTTCTCAAAGGTCTGCAGTGGTACCAGTGAAAACGTGTTATGCCGACAAGGAGAAGGCTCAGACCCCACAGTGAAGGTGCTCTTTCCAGAATGACCCCTCCAGTTTCACGCTTTTGTTTCTGGACTTGGTCCGGCCTCAGCGTATGGACTCATTTGGGCCCACCAAGCCCACCCTGCCTCCCGCAGTGCCCCTGTCCTTTGGTCCACAGATAGTGGCTACCCACAGGGTGGAATCTGGAAGGTCGGAGTGTGAAGAGAGCGCCTCTATTTTTACGAGGGATCTGAGGATGCGGTTTTACTGTTACCGTTGTCATTAGCAACAACGATGCAGTGTAATTCCATCGATCAACTGGTAACACTTTCTCCTATTTCCCTTTTCCTATGGCTGCTGGGACAGACAATGCTATTCCCTGCACACAGGTGAGAAAACCGTACCGTTCAGAGTTAGGCGCCTCACTGCATCTGGGTTACACCCCCATGGCGGCTGGACAGTATTTGCTCTATCTCTTTTCCCTTCGCCACGTAAAAAGTTGAAAATTTGGGGGTGCCTGGTTGGCTCAGTTGGTTAAGCGTCTGACTCTTGATTTCAGCTCAGGTCATGATCTCAGGGTCGTGAGATCAAGCCCTGCATCAGGCTCCATGATGGGTGTGGAGTCTGCTTGAGATTCTCTGTCTGCCCCTCTCTCCCCATCCCCCCGGTACTCGTGCATGCTCTCACTCTCACACTCAAAAATCAATTTAAACTTTGTTTTTAAAAGTTGAAAATTTATATCCAACCACAGACAAGAAGGCAACATTCTGAGTACCTGCCTCCAGAAACACTGATTCTTAATTTTTAAAAAATAGTGCATCATAGGGCAGCATCTGTTTTATTTTTCTGTGGTTGCTTTAAAATGATGACACTGCTATTATTTATACCCCTGTCATCAGCACCAGATGATTTGGTAAAAAGTATTACTGGAAAAAGAGCACGGGAAGAAATGAGCAAAATGCAGCATGCTTTCTGGCACCATTGAAGAAGACCACAGATCTCGGTGGAAAGCTTAGTTGAGAGCGGAAAAGACAAACCAATCAATTGCCCAGCAGCCTGTCCTAGCCAACTAGGTAGTCTACCAAAAGCATTAGTGATTATAAACCCATCTTAACAGATCCACGAAGAAATCAGTTTTCTGATTTTGATGGGACAGACCAGCATGGCCAAGGGTGGCAATGTTTTGTATCTGACACATCCGACAAAAAGGAAAAGACATATTCTCACCACACAGTAATCTTTCCTATCATTTCTCCAGTTAACTACACAGTTTTTTCATAATGTTCTTGTAAAGGAGCTTCCAAAACAATTCTCCCGTTAAGCGAAGGAATGCCCCGGTTGACCAAAGAATTTTGAGAAATCGCTTCCAGGTCCTGCAAGAACACGGAGGATGGGTATCAGATAAATACCTGAAATGATGATGACTTTCAGATCTTTGCTTTCAGCTTCGTGAAGAATGTCACTTTGCAGAGATTTCAGCATGGCTAATGACAGCACGTTCCTCTTCTTCGGATCACTCAGGACAATGTTCCTGGAAAGAACGTTTTATAATTACTGGGTCGTGCACGAAATCAAAACAAGTGAGGATCCCCGCAATTCCTTTCTTACCCCAGGGGCTATTTTTCAAAACACCAGAAAAGAGAGCCATGGGTGCTTAGAGGCAACTGAGAGGGTCTGCCAACTATCTGGAGTTATAGCTAAGGCAAAACAAGGAGACTACCTGAAAAGTGGCCTGGGTTTCCTCCCTCGTTCCCTGGGTTTGTTTCTCTTTGTCTCCATGATCGCTGTCAGAAACAGGACTGCCACCTCCACCCAAAGGGCAGGTTACAGCAGTTCCAAAAATCACCACTGCCCATTCCGAGAGGCGCTGAGGCTTATAAGCCCACAGTGGGAGCCAGAGAAAGCTGCCACACTGTGGCTACCTTCAGCTCCGTTCTCTCTGCTGTTCTTTAAGAGAGTAAGCTTAGGGAAGGAGCCGAGAATGAAAAGACGCCCCCCAAACCTCCCCCCATGCACCCCACCGAGGAGGCAGCGCAGTTGCAGTGGCCAATGTGCATGGGTGACAGCATCTTTCCATGTTTTTATAGCGGCATCCTCAAATTCCACCGAATAATTTATGCTGAGGACGGGCAATGTGGGAAGAACAGAAGGACGGGCAGACAGCAAGAGGGCTCTTCTGGACACGTCCTCCAAGGAGCTGGCAAGCCAAGGTCTCGCTGTTTTAAGGTATCCCACGTGCTAATTAAAAGAACCAGTATTGTCATCTGGCTGCCTGTATACAGAAGGGTCTGATTTGTGCGGTGAGACGGAACGGGCACGGAGCCAGCCTCCAGCCTATTGTTCTGTATGTTGCATCTGTTTCCCCTTGGCCCCCGGCTACATGTTTTCTGCCTTTCTCACCCTTTCTTTGGCTCTGCTGTGTGTCAGCCTGGATCCTCCTTAAATAGCCCTCTGGGCCACTGCCTTCTGGAAAACCACTTCAGTGGTTTTCTGACTGACTTTGTTTCAGTGCTACATGAATACCCATTTTCTTTGGAACACCCTTCCGGCTTTGCTGCCATCTTCAGATGACTGTGACAGTCATCGTTTTGTTTCTCGTCAACACCTTTCCTCCTGAGTGCCAAAAATGATTTGCAGCTGATAGGCCGACAGGTGATGAAACCCGCGTTTTGGGGTGTGGTAAGAGAAGTGCCGACGGAACCTTCCAGTAAGATAATGAGTGTGCTTTTCTGTAGCAAACCTAAGAGCTGCCATCCCGTCAGTGACATATGCTTAATTTAAATTCTAAGGCCTCGGGCAAAATCGTGTAGAAAGATGCCGGCGCCCGGATGCCCTTGCCGCACGTTGGCGTCTGTTCGTATGTGGCCCATTAACCCTTTGGCTGGTGCGTTGCACACCCTGTCAGAGTGCTCTGAATTGCTGAGTTCACTTCTCAACCCAGCACAGCCAGGCTTCTCTTCCTGCCACTCCACTCAGTCTGCCCTCGCCGAGAATCTCCTCATTGCCAGAACCAAATCCAACGGCCATTCGGATCATGCTCTCCTTCTGTCTCCTGTCTTTTGGTGCTTCTCTAGCTTATCCTCTACTTCTTCAAAGGGCTCCTTGCCTTCCACTCGCCCCTAAATGATCCTCATTTTTCCCTCTTCAACTGGCCATCAGAGCTGGCTGGTAATACCTCCTAAAAATCTTAGCAGTCTGAATTCTCCCAACGGCTATCTTGGGGCAAAACACGTGATGCCTTGCACCTACAGCTTCACCAACACCACCACTGGAAAGAGGGAATCACCAAGAGTGAGGGCACCGCCAGGGCATGTGATAAAAAGTGTAATATTTTCTGTTTGCAGGGCAGGAGATGGGCCCTGGGGAGGCCCCGATGAGCTGTCCGGAGCCCATCACATCACTGTAAACCCCAGAAGGTCCGTGAGATGAGGCACCTGTCATGTTCACACACAGGGGAGACACTCGGCAGACACCTGCTGACTGAATTTATGACCCCAAATGGCATTTTGATTTCTCACGTCCAACTCCATTAATTCCTGCAAATTTTCATCTCACTTAGTTTTTTTGCCACCTCTTTTAAACCTCAGTGGCGAGGACACTGAGCTATACAGCGGAGTGGGAACAGCTTTGGAGGCAGATGGACCTTTTCCTGCCTCCTGGCTCTCTTTCCGCCCGGCTGTGTGGCCTTGAGGAGGCTGCCACCTTTCTGAACTTGTTTACTCGCTGTAGGGTGGGGACAACATAACCTAGCTCGCAGACCGCGAGAAGGATTTGGGGTAGCGACTGTACAGTGCCTAGCACGGTACCCCAATTTCTGGCCGCCTTTCACTCCATGACAGTAGCATTGCTGAGAGGAACAGCTTTGAAAAGGGAGGCTTGACGTGTGACTGAGTTGTTCAAGCTCACCAACTTAGTGCCTAACATACCACTGCTTTAGTGATGGCTTTGGAGGTTCCTGCTTACCGATTCTGAGCACTTATGTTAGATCGATGCTTCCTATCGCCTCTCTTTCTGACTCATGTTTAGTTCTGGAGAATTCAACCAGAACTTCTTTGGTCACCTGGCTGCCGTGCCAGATGTCAGGGTTCTGACCAGGTGGAACCAGATTTGCAGAAGCAGAACCACCCTTGAAAATGAGCAAGAAGGACCCCCATCTGGGTGCTGCACTTTCGAGTACCCTGCTCTGGGCACCCGGCTTCAGCTGTGCCCTGCCAGGGGAGCCAGGAGTCCACCTGAATAGTATGATGTGCCCACCTGGAAATCACCACCCTCTTCCAAAACCTGCCATAGTTACCTGAGACTCTGAAATTCTCTGGCTTTGCGGGGGGCATCCTTAAGCCCACGGGGTGGCCAAGAGCAATTATTTCTAGGAGCGGAGGGGAGAGAGAGTAGGGAGGCATGCTGGATGGGGTGTCTGCAGACCTGTGTGCCAAGCTCCTGGCAGAGCAGCAGGAGGGAGGGGTGGAGAGGTGAGAAGGGGTGAGCACAGGGTGGGAAGAAAAGAAAAAAGTTGCAGGCCAGCAGCAGGCCCTTCACTGCTTTGGGGGAACTCCTAGAAGCCTCAGGATTATAAATTCATACATGGTCTTCCAGGTCTTATGAAGATACACTTGTCAGGGTAGGAGAAGAAAACATATTTAGCTGTTAGTTTGATTTGTAACTTTTAAATACTTAGCATGCTGGGTAGGCCTCTCTTTGCACCCTTGCCCTGGCCAGGCAAACAACAGGGTGAGGCCTGCATGGGGCTAGGGGGTCCTTCAACCTTTACTACTCCAATTCCAGTTTGTGCACTGGTTTGTTTGTTTTGTTTTGTTTTTTAAGGGTTTTAGGCTTGTTGAGCCAAAGGGCAGAGCTCAGTACAGTGTGCCCTTCATTCTACATATTGACATGCTCCCCGCCCTCGGTACTTCTGGGGTAAGGCCAAGGAGCAGCTAAGCCTAACCTGGCCTTGGAACCAGGTCAAGGTTGTGAGAAGCACAGAACCCTCTTTCTCAAAGGCCACATCAGCGGTGGGGCCACCTGCCGAGCTCTCCGCACCGGAGCCTAAAGTTCAATGAAGGCTCGGTTGCCCTGGGGGTTTAGGGGCAGTGCGGGGGGGCCTTCTGAGGCTGTCCCATTTGAAATTCTCCTGTGTGTCCTGCAGGATCCGAAATGTTACAGTGCCCAGGCAAGGGACTTCAGGAAACACCGCGTCCGCGGGTTCCCTTCGCGGCCTCCGGCCGGATTCGCACAAGCTAGGGTTCCCAGCGGATGGACCTGACCCCTGGCCGAGTCCTCGTCGGCCTCCGCGTGGGGTGACTGTCCATCTCTCTGCCCGGGTCCCTGCCGCCCACCCCGACCTGGGAGCTGCCCCGCTAGGCCCGCGGGCCGCCGGTCCGGGAGGGCCAGGGCGCTCTCACGGCCCCGCCGCTGACCTGATGCCGTCCCGCTGCCGCGCGTTGGTGAGTCGCGGCCCGAGCTCCGGCCGTCCGGCCCCGGCCGGACCCCTGCTGCAGAAGCCGGAGGAGAGCGGAGCCCAGGGGCTTCGCCGGAGCCAGCCGGGCCCCTTTGTCCCGAAGGCGCGCAAGCCGGCGGCGGCCATGGCAGCCAGAAATTCGCCCCACAGGGCCGGACAGCCCCGAGGGCCGCTACTGCGAGCTGGGCCGCAGCGCCTCAACAGCTCTGGGGCGCAGGCGAAACCGGAAAACCCGGGGCCAGAACTCCCACGCCCGGGTCTAGGTCTGTCTCCTCTGGTAGGCCCGCCCCTCCCCTCCGCACCCTGGCCCCGCCCCTCCACCCCGCCTCCGCGCCCCGGCCCCGCCTCCCCGCGCCGCACCACCCCCTGCGCCACGCCCACCCGCCCCGGCCCGGCCGCGCCCGCCCCGCCCCCTCCGCCCCGCCCCGCTCCCCTCCTTCCGCCCCGCCCCGCCCCCGTGGGGCTGAGGGGTGGAGTCCGGGGTGGAGTTCGCAAACACTGAACCGGCCGGCGGGATTGTTTGCCTTAGTGAAGGCCAGATGAAGAGTTCAGGGGAGGCGAGGAAAGGGTTGGCTTGTTCCTTCCTGCACCAACACCGAGAACGGTGGTGGTTTACCTAGATTAGGAAAGTGAGTGTCAACAGGTGGCGACTGGTATGAGCATGGTCGCCACCTTGTTACTTCACCCCAGCCACTGCAAACCCGCTCAGGCCTTGCAGGTGATCACAGGTCACAACGTGAGGTGTATTCCACACAGGCGTTGCCTTTTGAAGGACTTTGTGTCCTCTCCTCGAAAACCCTACATTTATCTCTTGGGTTTTTCAAATGCACCCGGGAGGGAAAGGGAGATCCTTCTCAGGATCTAAATGGCTGGCACTGGAGGAGACAGTGAATTTCCTGTCGCTGAAATCTTAAGTATAAGGAGAATATCCTCATTGTCATGTGTTAGCTCAATTCTCAAAGTCTGCAGGTTTTAAAAAATTTCCTTAAATATTTTATTTTTATTGACTACATGCTCATTTTCAGTAGTAGATACCTTCTGCAGGAGTTGCTCTGGTCTCAGGACACAAACTTGTATCTTCCACTGGTGTCCTGTTCCAAGTATTTTAGTCAACATCATCTTTTCGAAATATGTCTGATTGGGACGCCCGGGGGGCTCGGTTGGGGAAGCGTCTGTCTTCAGCTTGGGTCATAATCCCAGGGTCCTGGGATGGAGTCCCACATCCGACTCCCTGCTCAGTGGGGAGCCTGCTTCTCTCTCTCCCTCTGCCCTTGCTTGTGCTCTTTCTCTCTGACAAATAAAATCTTCATAAAAACCCAAACAGAAAAGCCCCGAAGTATGTCTCATCATGCCACTTCTCTGCTTCCCGCTGCAACATCTGGCCCCCCGCTCCTTCAGCCTGTCTTGTGCTATTGTCCACGCTCTAGGCGCACGACAGATCAAAGTCTGGAAATTTGCAGAACACATGGAAGGAATGGTCTCAGCCCTCAAGGATCTTACAGTCTCTAGGGGAGAGACGCCATGCCAAGGACCCTCCACGCCCTTCACACTGAGAAGCTTTGCAAGGATCACAATTATACAAAGGAACATTCAAATGAGGCCATTGGGGTTGCACGGTGGCTTCAAATAGTCACACACGTGGGTTTAATTCTCAGCCTCATCATTGGACAGAACACTTATGTACAGAGAAGTATTCTGAAATATCAACTGAGACCTCCTCCTCTACCACCACCACCACTCCATTTCCCTGGTCCTTGCTCCATGAAGGCAGCTGGGGTATTCCTCATTCATCGTCTCAAAGGAAGAGGGGGGTCTGGCAGAACTCAGAGACAAACAAACACGGGGCAAATTTTGGCTTGCGAATTTTGAGCACTTGGGGGTTGGAAAGAACACCAAACAGTCATGATAGATTTGGGAAAGGTGGCACAGGTGAGTAAGAATGAAGCCTCCAGCCCGAGGCCAGATTCAAGTCCCCTGCATTTGGGGGCAAGGATAGGGCAAGTGGGGCATGTGGGAAAAGCCGGAAGAGGCAACTGTTATGGGATTTGGGGAAAGCGTTGCGCCAAAGCCTCCTGGAGAAGAAGGTGGGAATGGTGAGAAGCCCCAGCTAGGGCAGAGGCAGGCCTGCTCTTTTTCCTTGGCAGAGCCCCAGGGGAGTCATGAGACTCCAGGTGGCCTGGAATGTCTGAGCACCTCACACAGAATTTCCCATGGCCCAGTGTGAGGCCAAGACAACAGGTGGGTTCCTGTTTCTGAGCGGCTCAGAAACAGCTGACAAAGGTCTGGATACCAGGAGGCCCTGAGTGGGGAATGGAGGATGGTTCAGGAAGTGTGGATCGCCAAGTTGAAGACAAGGTGGGAATGAGGACATCTCAGATGGATGCCATCACCTGTACCCTTCAGGTAGGCTCGAGTATGCCCAGGTTAACAAAAATAACAAAAACAAGTCTCAGTGGCTCAAACAACAAGACTCATTTCTCACTTACACTACAGGTTGATGGGAGATAGGGGAAAGCTCTGTGCTGGGTCGGCATTGTCCTTGGCCCCAGGACCTGTTAGAGCAGCATTTATCTAGAAAGATGCTAGTCTCTGTGGCAGAGGGGGAAAAAGGATGAGGAAAAGTGTGAACTGATATTTAAAGCTTCCTTCTGGAAATGACACTTGCTCTTATGTTCCATTTGCCAAAGCACATCACATGGCCATGCTTAGCTTGTAGGGAAGTACAATCCTCCCATGAGTTTGGAAGCATGGAGCTAGAATCTTTTCCAGCAACGACTGCCTAGTAAATACCATGATCTCCCAAACGCAGAGCCTTGGTTCAGTGTGATAAACTAAGTTACCCTTATTATTCAGGGATTGGTGATAGAATTCTAAATTGGAGCTTAGGCGGAATGGAGATTTGAAGTAGAAATTAAGCTGACATATAAAATGAAATTAGAATTCTAGAACACTGAGTTTGTGCAGTGGGATTTGTATCTATCCCCTTAGTCATGCCAAGTCCTGCAGAGCAGGCAGAGCATGCTACCTGAGGCGGCGGGTCATGCAGGATCAAAAAGCAAGATCAGAATGATCGCCACCATGAGCCAAAGCCCACCCCTGGAAGACGTCTCCCACCTTCTTACCGAGATTAGTTTTGCTGGCAGGTTGGGAGGTTTGGTTGGGAGATGAGAAGACTGTTGTATCCCAACACAGGGGTTGGAGTAGAGGAGAAATCTGGAGTTTAAGGTTTTTGAGAAAAAGAAGGAACTAGGAGAGCCCTGAGAACCTGCAAGTCACAGATGAAAATGGAAGTTTCCAGAGGCGGAATCCAGTCCTTCTGAATTTTGTTTAATAATAATAATAGTGGCTCTTCAAGAAGCCCCCCACTTGGAGCCAGTGCCTGCCCTTGTTGCCCACGTCTGCCATCTGAGGGTCACTGGGGAGGCAGCTCTCACGATCCAGGTTCAGAGAGGTCTAGCCAGTGACGCTTGCACTCAGCACAGTAATCACAAAGTTGGGCCTGGACGCTGGAGGTCACCTGAAGGACGGGGCTGCGGTGGAGGTTTCTGCGCTCATCTAAAATTCCTGCGCCGGCCCTCCCCTCCCTTGCCTGCCTCCTTCCTCCCCTCATTTCTTTCAGAGCCTGTCGCTCCGGTTTGAGGGTGGCGAAGCAACCCAGGACAGTTGGAGATGCACGGCCATCGCCCTGTCCAAACTGTACCATTGCTGAACCGCCTGTCCGGACTTACGCCGTGCAAGAGTCTTTTCCTTCAGGCTGTTTCTCCAGGGCTCCTCTGCCTCTCATTAATTTCGGCAGGGGCTGCCTGTCTTTTTTCTCTCTTGTTCAGTGCCCTTCTAATCTATTTTCCACACGGGCCTTCTTGACACAATTTGATTTCTAGGTTGCTAGCAGGCTTCTCCCCAGCTTTGATTTATGCACGCCTTCTCGTTGCCACATGCCTTTGCCGTACAGATGTGTCTTCGCTACCTTTCCACATTTCCTTTAAAGACCCACAGATGCTTGGCAGAAACTTTGCGGAAATAATGCAGAATAAAAAGACAGTCCTCGGGAGCCTGGTGTCTCAGGCTTGATGTGGGAAGGAAGGAGGATCTAGAACTCCTCCGGGTGCAAAGAAAGAAAAGGGCAGATTTTCCACTGCTCATGGAGTGGTTTTTGAACTTCTTCTTTTTATCGATTTCAGGCCCTTCTAAGGCAGGCAACGTAATGACACAGTTCAGAGGTACAATGAGAAAGTGGGGCTGAGTTTCAGTGGAGGTCCGTCGGGCACCGGGCTTATTCCCCAGGTCTAGCTGCCTGCCCCGACCCCCGATTCTCCCCATATCTGTCCCTCCCCCAAAAGCCATTGGGGGGGTCCATCCCCCCAAACCAGAAATATTTCAGACTTTCCTTGTTTCACAGCTTCAGGTGCTTTTCAACGCCTCGATTTTATTATTTTATATTTTATTTAAAATCCGCCGGTCATTATCCTAATGCCTTTTGCAAACCTGAAACTTCTTTGTGGAAAAAGCCATAACCTCCAGTCGGGTGATAATTAACTTAGAAACTAAATGCGGCGGGGAGGAGTACATGGATGAAATTAAGTTCCTTTTATCCCCACTTGGCACAAATTCTTGAGTTTTTTCCCAGGCCTTAAACCAAAGGAGCTCAGTAACTCCCGAAGAAGGATAGGGAGGGAGGTGTGGACTGCTGGAGAGGCGTGTGTCTCACTGCGTCCGTGGGGGCTGGGGGTAATGGTTTGAATGAGCTCATTAAGTGAAAGGATCCTCATGGCACATTGATAGCCCCTTGCTGGAGGACAGGAGGGCATTTGGGAGAGGAATGGTCAACATCGGATCCATTAAATGATGCTAGAGAAAGATAGCCACGCGGAGGCTGGAGGCTGCAGAGCAGGGGCAGCTCAACCCCATTCATGGCTCCCCTGCTGAGGAAGGGCCAAGAGGCCCCAGAGCAAAGCCAGCCTCTGGAGAGCAAGTCCCAGAGCCACTGCAGGGCGGGGAGCCCAGTGGTGCCTGTCTGCTGAGCCTCCTGCCTTTCACCACACCTCACAATAATTCTAACCCCGCCACACAGAGAGGATATTATATCTCAGTATTTTGAGAGGAAAGGAAAAGCGGTGGACATCCTGGCTTCGAACAGGTGAACCTCCAGCCAAAGGGCACATGGCACTGTGCGGAGTGATCTGTTGCTTGAATATTCCAGATAGCC